CCGAAAAGTCATCCAATCGTAGAGCAAGATCAGACCCAAAAAAAAACGAACATTCTTCAGAAAACTTTCACGCCTCTTAAGAAGTTTCAGACAGCGTGCGCTGAAATGAGAGCAATGTGTATGATACTAAAATTTACTTAATGATGTAAAAAAAGTTGAATAGAATGACTTCGTTTTTTTTTTCTGGTGAATATTTCATCGTATAGCCAGAAAAATCATCACAATTGAGATATTACGCGCTAAAAACGATCATAATAATGATTGATTTTCAAAGTTGTTCGTTTGAAGCAGAAAAAATATTATGAGGTCTTAAAATTCAGAGTAAAAGAAATGTCCATTAAATCAAATGGTAGAGGGTACAAAATCTTAAAACAAATTCAACGCCGTTGCAGCTTCATGTACGTCCTGTTGCTTGATCTCGAGTAGCGCACTCACCGAAATCGGCTTTCATGTGTCAGCTTTTCTTGAGGTGCAGCAGTTGCAAGGATTTTGCAACGTCTGAAAATCTTTATGTAAAAAAATATCAACAACCCAGACAAACTCCGGAGTATAAAAGAGTCTTTGGATTAGCTATCATGGAACATATGTAAATGAAGTGAAATTACAAAACGAACTGTTGAACCATATCTTTGAAAATTATTTTGTGAAAATGTATGGCCAACAATAGCCTGCCGTCATTTTGAAGTTACATCGTTATATTAGGGAGCTAACTTTAAAGTCTGAGCTTCGCAAAATCCAAATTGCATGCGACTCTGGAATGTTTTTTTTTTTTGGGGCGCAAGAAGAGAAGAATACCAGGCATGAATATCCAGCGCCAGCCATGAACAACCTCAAGCTCCGACATGACCATCAATAAAATCCTCAACTCTTCCATATTATTCAATTTTTCTCGTCCTGAAGTGCAAGATAAGCCACGAGACGATTAAAACTTTGATATAAAGTGATCATTATTTATTTTAAAGTCAATTGTTGAAAAATTTTGTAATTGAATCGTGAAAAATTTTGTAACGAATGCATATTATATTTTATGATTTTTCAAGCTAGAGTTTACCTTCAATGAAGCCTAAATTTTAAACGAAATTGAAATCGTGGCATGAAGTTTTAAAATGTAAAAAATATAAATAATGATAACGGCTCTCAATAATTTTTTCATTTGCTTTAATGACATCGGATAAAATTATGAAATAAATGGCTTCAAGGAATTATTATTTATTTTCATATCCAAGAAATAAAATGTACAGAAATCTTACAATCAATAATTCAAAAGTACGACAAACTGACGTTATCAGTGAGATAGCGGGGTTGCTAAGAACCAATAAAGTTGAAGAACATAAACGCCACTTCACCCTTATTATTTGCTGCAGTTGAGCGAGAATATTGCTGACGTCGAGGAATAAAAGAACTATCGACGTCAAACTTTTCGCACAAAAAAAATCGAGGTAAAAAATACAGGGATGAGGAAGAACATTTCCTGAGCTAACATGAAAAACCAAATTTTAATTGACGGTTTCCAGCTCATCCGCAATTTTTTGAGATCTTTTCTTTTAGGTAAATGATATAATTGATATATGCTGCAGAACATAATCTAATGGTCTTGATATATTCTTCTAGAAATTATAAATATTGTTTTGATACGATCGCTTCTCCATAAAATTTTAAGTGATCACGTAAATGAGGTTAATTGCAAGTCTTTATGCAGTAAAGTAACTTTCGCACAGAAAACGAGATGAGCAAAGATCGTCAAGATTCTGTTGCTAATATCGCTGTCGCATGCTTTTTTTCGGGATCTAATAGAGAAACGCCAAATCAAACAAGGTTCGCTTGGTTGACATTAGCTAGAAGCTAGGTCAGCGAAATATCAGCTTAGATCTCTCAGAAACACTATGTAAGACGATGACATGAATTATCTTATACTCAATTAAAGAAACCTCGAAGGAGCTGCACTCATAGTTAGCGTTTCCGTTATCAAAAAATAGCCAGCAATCTTGACCACCCGAGGTCGTTAACCTGTTCAATTGGCAGTAAACAGTACGTGAATAACTGACTAATCGCTTACGCCGCAGTACACTGCAGGTTAGCATGTAACATGGCCTCTATATAACGTTTTCCATCTTTAAATTCGAGGCTCTAAAAACGAATTATTCTCTTTGAATGAAACTTGCCATTTCAGTAGAATTCTCCTTCTCTAAGCAATTTTAAAATTCATAATTGACTGCAAACGGACGGTGCGACATAAACGAAATGCTGAACTGATAGCCTTAGTTTCTAGAATCATGCACATCCGTGGAATTGTATGCATTCATCAGTGCGTTGGAAGTCGTCGAGAAATTATGACTCTGAGTCACGTCGTGAGACAAAGCAATGGCAATGAAGCGCCGGCAAACGGAAGTCAGCAGGAGCACTCTATTTCAAATGTAAGGCCGACATTGTCCGCATGTCAGCCTGATCGATTCAGTAGCTTGCTGTAGCAAAGAGAACGGAGACTGCAGCAGTTAAACTCAAGCCGAGCTCGTCATATACAAAATTACTGCAGGAATGTGGTCGTTCATTTGGGAAAGACGACTGTTACCTTTCTAAATTCACCTTATAACACTGGTCTACTCACCAAGTTCTTTTAGGTTCATACTCTGCGATTATATAAATAAATTTTTGTGCCATGACAAGAAAATGCTACAAATTATATTCAAATATTAACTCATATTATGTCCAAGTCATTCAAAATTAATTCAGATAATGTGAAATCAGATCGTGAAATCTGTCTCATTGAAAAGAATTTCCAAATAATTGTTTTTCAGAACCTCTGAAACTGAACTACGAAATTTAAGTACTAAAAATTCACACTACCGGTCAGAATAAGCATTCATAATAGTTTTCAAAAGTAAGGTAACGTCTACCACAAGAGAAGGCGTCAGGCATACGTATAATATTCAACCACGTGCTGCCATAATGGATTAGATAAACAAGTTTGTCTGTGCATCATGTTAATAATTATTGGAATTCATTCGAAATTCTGCCAATTTAAAGTTGGATTAGAAATAGATGTTTCTAATAATATAACCAGAGTAATATGTAGAATCTCACCTGACGCTTGCATTTGAGATTTAGCTTGTCTCAAACAACGGTTCATAATTTGATATTGCAATATGTGGACGTTTCAGTTTCTTTAAAACCTCACGAATTAAGCTATGGGATCATAAAATACATGGATAATATCTTTGAAGAACATGAAGGAGGCTTGAATTAATATAGGCTGAGTGGATGTCGATAACGCAATACTCGAAACGTGCATTAAAAGTCGTGGCCTTGCACAAAGGACAAATGCGTCTTTGTTCTATACTATGCACGGCCTAGAGCTCCACCATTCTTGTGGCTTACGCACTGAATTCCTTCATAAGTAATTTATTTATAGCGATTCAAAGGTGAAAATTTTTCGAGGCTGCTGAAATTAATGATATTTTGCACTCAACTTGGAACCATTGTCTGATGTTTTTTAAGAAGTTCTTCATTGAGCATAAAGAACTGTGCAATATATACCAAGCATATATTTTTACTAACTGTGCTTCTATACATGCTATGGAGGCAATCACATTTTACAAGTTTACATGAAGGCTACAAAACGAAATGCTTGAATATTTATGAATTTTGAAATTAATGAAAACTCACTGGAATAATTTAGCACTCTTTGTGAAGATTATAATATAATACAGTTGGTTTAAACAAGACATCGAGATTTGTGTAAATGCCAGGACAGAATGGAGGGCACGGCGGAGAATGAGCTTTATTTTTGTCTAACTATATTTTCAGAGAAGTAGTAACTTCTCCTGAGCAACACATTCTATTCCTTCAAGTGGTTTGCAACTGATACTGCTGGTATAACTTTTTCTTTTTGCGTTCTTAGTTTTGTGTGTCTGAGTATAATATAATAGACATTCGTCTTCTCAAAATAGTCCCCTATATATATACGCACACGACAGATGGCATATAACTTTTCTATACAGCAGGCATTGAGATGGCTTATGAGCTCACTACTATAAGAAAATAATGTGGGTATTCTTACTGTCTTTGAAATTTCGGTCACTATCATTATCTTCCGTTCGCATAGGAAGGCTAAGAGGGCAGGTATATGCTATGCAACAAATATTTCAACAGCCATTACAATATTAATTTTCGAACATATTGGTAGGATATAAAAAAATTAGTTGCACCATAAGCTTGGCATGTTGAAATTATTATCAATCGTGTTCGTCCAATTATATTCAGAGAATTCCCCAAAAATCTCAAGGTGTTGACATCCTCTTTGTTTGATAAATACTTCATATTGTTGCGTGTGCATTAAAATCTATTTCTATGCCTTGGAAAGTTAAGAATTAAGATCCAACGATGCCGATGAAAATACAGCAACTTTCCAATTATTTCTTTCACAATATATGAAGAACTGCACCCTAATTACGATGTAGTCATTATTTGCATCATTGATGTCATGGGAGGAAAACAAACAAAATTATTAATCGTCAAACGTGCTATTTATAACCATAGTAGTCGCCCGTCGCATCAATTAACGATTCAGATAATAAAACTGCGCTTATGTAGCATGGTGGTGAAAGTTTATGTGATGATTAACGAAGTAGAATACAAAAGAAACTCTACCAATGGAATTTGCAGTTCAAAGACAAACTTAAAATATTCCTTGCAGTGCTGCGTAAAAAATGTAAATTGAGTTGAGGCAAGAAGATCAAAGTGAAGAGTCCATAAGAGTTACACTGACAAGTGAGAAACGTGTCGGCTGCTAAAAAATATCGCAGAGAATTTATTCCTAAAATGTTCGTCCTAATTGTCTGGAAAACTATATATTTCCAGTATTGCAAAATATGAAGCATATGAATATTAGAATATATTTCAAGGAATACTGAGGTTGATAAATGGAATAGCATGAATTTCAGTTATAATTGTTACTCAAGTGATCAGCAGCGCGGGGAGGAGAGGAAGGAAAGAAGACTTACCTTTTATGAAGCAGGCCTCAATGACAGCCACAAGGACTACGCAGAAAGTCGACAATCTTTTCTGGAGAAACATTTCACTTATGTCCACTCTATCCACGCAAAAATGTATCTACGAATCCACACTATCCACGCAAAAATGTATCTACGAAGTGCACTCTATCCACGCAAAATGTATCTACGAATCCACACTATCCACGCAAAAATGTATCTACGAATCTACACTATCCACTCAAAAATGTATCTAAGAAGTCCACTCAAGTGAATAATTCTACATTTCCCTGGAAAAACGCACGAGTTAGAGAGCAATTTTTTCACAATAAAGACGTACATCCAATCGATTCGTCGTTCAGAAATCAGTGTATTGTCTCACTAGTGAAACACAAACAATGCATGAAAAAGTCCGTGACTATTTAGATGAATTCTTATCATTCAAATCTAGATTATAACAATAATTAAAGATTGAAGAGTCATGAAAATATTGAAAATACCTTATAATGCAAGTTCAAATAACGTAATAACGAACCACTGAGCTTACATTGATTCCAATACATCAGCTTCACATTGTTTCCCATTACGTGATAGAAATTAGCGACGAGAAAATTTCCTGGTTGGCTCATAATTTCTTGAGTCGGATGACATGAACCTAACTGCAAACTTTCAATCAATTCATGGACACTATAAGCCAAAACAGCAATCTTCTGTTAAATTCTATCGTCAGTCTTTGATTAATATTTCAATGTTCATCTGGATTACAATTAAAAATTGTCTCCTAATATTTAAATTACTAACCAATATTCCTAGCTATTATATTCAGTTAAGTTAAAATTCCGTAAATGGAATCGCTTCAAAGTCCGTCCACAATCCCCAGTGACAAAGAGCGAGCGAGGGCCTCAATTAGGGATGAGATGCATCAGTTGATTGTCGTCCTAACCAATGCGGGCTTCCCTTGAGTAAACTGCCTTTTTCTACTTAATTAATTGAGGAATTTATTCCCGAGATATAAGCTATAAATTAGTCGAGCCAGATATAAGATTTCAATTCTATAGGAATCTTAAAATACAGGTCGAATTAGTCTTGTTAACCTCAATAGTTCATTGCTGTCATCAGTTCGGTAGAATTGTTTAAAGAATTGTTTCGGAATTCGGTAGGATTGTTTCAGAATTGTTTGAACGGTAATCGTTTAAATGCAAGTCAATTTTTATTGCAATGCTATCAAGTTTGCATATTTCAAAGCAAGGGCGGAGAAGAGACATCAAACCATTAGTTCATTTTGTTGTTTATTCTACTTCACATCCTGCTTTTCTCGACATCGACAGTCATACAATCACCGAAGAGATGTAGCATTATATTCAACAAATCAACGAAACCCAATGAATATCAAATTTTGGTGCTAACTCGCAATTTATTCCTCAATAGAGGTAGTATAACCTTTCATCTGACAGGCTTTGATTTCATTATTTATTTCTACTAATTCTTACCCGAAATTATGTCAAAATATTCAATTAATAATTATTTAATTAAATTAAGTAGTTTAACAGGAGGCGCGTCGGAAAATCATATCAAGCATCAATTTGCCACAAATTATTTAATAAGATTTCAGCTGAAAACTTGCCCCTTGGAGCATTGCAATCATATACTCATACTCTTTCTGACGAGCTAAAACTTTACTATATTCTTTCCCACCAAATTCTCAATGGCTTGTATTGCTGATCAAGCGTTTGTTTGTACTTGGAGCAAACTAAAGTTCATTGATCATTAATCATGAAAGTTACACTTCTGTTATTGGCCGGCTAAGGTTATTGACTGAAAAATAGATGACGTGAAAATTGCTTGGTTGACTAAGTTGTTAACGTGAAAGGTTATGGTTTAAATTTATTGGTCACATGTAATGAAATATTGGCGAATTAACAAAATAATTCTGATCAAACTAAAAGCCGATATTAAAATTATTCAGCAAATAAAGTTCAAGGAAATACGGTTAGGAAGTAACAAATAATGAAATATATTTGTCCAATAAAATTAATTTGAAATTAAATAACGACCGCTAATAAGTTGTACAGTATTTTTCAGCATTTTCAGTTTCAACGGCCAAGTTCCACAGGATTAAGTAATTAATTAGGAATAATAAACTTATTAACATAATTTCATTTACATAGATATAATAACCGAAACATTTCTTGATTCCATAGAAAGAATTCATTAGGATTTTATGTTTATTAGGATGTTAGGATCAAAGTAATTATTTCAGTAAATCACCTCATTTGGGGACAAATGTTATTTTATTAGGTTTTAATGGATATACGAGACACATATGCCTAATAATTGTGAAAATTCGAATACATAATACTCATATTTATATATCATAATAAAGACTTTTCCATGGAATTGACATGAATAATAAGACATTTTGTGTAAATTATATTGCTGTCATCGGTCCTCCGTTCAATAACTGCATTTGAATGACTCAAAAATGCTCATAAATTTTCCACTGCGCAACCAATGAATGAGAAAAATCACATCGTCATTGTATATTCCATCCCCCAGAAATTCACGAGCCTTAGCATCTATGGTACGAAACACACCCGTAAAACACAAGCAAGCCGATGTTGAGACGAGTTATAGTGCAGTATTATAAGTAGGCAGGCTATGAAAGCGCACATGCTTCACCCTCCAAAGCTTGTCGGACACTGAGCCAGTGCTGAGCTAGACGGCGCTAGTAGCCACTCACTTGAGCGTCCTCGTCCCCGATCCGCGCACGCACGCACATCTCCGAGACAAGAATCCCAACAATGGGCGACGAAAACACATTTCTGACGTGATAAGTCGACTTTCACCTGCCATTTATCCATTAACTGGAGGTTTTGAAACTAATGTTCACACTCCCATTATGTTGTTAATGATAATAGGAAAATATTATTATGACATTGAAAGTTATGACATTGATTGGAATAATATTTTACGCGTTGATGATTCATATTATGACCAAGAGTATGTCTTCCGGAAATTTTAAATAGTCATGCCTTCTCAAATGAGTGCAGTTTGTGTCACAATCTAATCAAAAATACTTACTGTCACCGCACTTTATCACTTCACAAGCATATAGAAGATAGTTGTCATGCTTATTTTTTTTTTTTTTTTTTTTGATGCGCTCTGAACTCGCCAGTTGAGGCGCCGCAGAAAGTAATTGAAATGTTTGATGTATTGTCCGCGGAGTTTCCCACTCTTCCCAATGTCAGTGCTATTTTTTTTAAAATGAATATCCGTAGATTTATTATGAGCTCCTCAATCCGACTTTCATTATTTAACCGTTGTATTTTTTCATATTGATTTGTATTCTCGTCAATGCAATCTTATATCATTTAATACAATTGACGCCCTGATCATTCACAATTCACTTATACGATGAATGAAAGTAATAAACGGTGATTGGCATTGATTGCTTGGTTGTAATGCCGATGCCATTACAACTACCTAGAAATTTTCTTTCCCTGTCGTTGATTCAACGACAAGAACGTTTTCTTGTCGTTGATTCATAGAAAAACTTTATGTTCAACGTTGATTTAACGTAGGAAGGAAACAACTTGATGATAGAAGGAAAATTTATGAGAGACCGTTAATATTTGAGCAAATTATCCGCACCCAACCAATGTAGATAACTAACAAAAGTTCATACACTCATAAATAACACTTTTTCATGCAATCTTCATCAAATTTATTTCATTTCAATTATGTCCGAGACTGGAAAATTTAAATTTCAAATTTTCATAACTTTTCACGTCGGTATGGCAATGCTGAAGAAAATTTTCTATTATAAAAATTGCATAACTATTGTGGACTAGTCACAAGTGAACAGTTGGGAAATGTGAAAGTCTCGTCAATGATGCAGAAGGAATATTTATTATGTCTATTCAGTAGAATATACATGTAAGAAAATGTGTTCAAGCACAAAAAATGCCGCCCATCTATATCACAATTTAGAATTTCCAATACCCAAAAGATTCACCAATAATCTATTAGATTGCATCATTGTCTTTCGACTATTTAGAATTTGAATTTTACACAATTTATTCACCCAATAGTGGAATTGGACTATTACTGACTCCCTCAAAGGAAATCAATGGATCATACTGTTCAAATATTTACTTTCTTTCTGCACTGACATTTTCTGATTGCGGTGCCAAAGATGCTCATGACGAACGACACAAAAGTCAAAAGTGCATCGCCGTTTGGACAAAATCTCAAATTTGTCTCACTCAGAAGGCGGGGTCGAAGCAATTGAAGAATTGAAATAAATCTTCGCTGACAGGGGGGGGGGGGGCAAAAGATGGAGGTATTATCATATTTAAATTATATTTCAAACGTACATTCCAGATTAATTGGATGACACAATTGATTTTTGATGAGATGATAACTTTAAATAACCCATAACTATTTACGAAGAATATAAATCCGAATAAAATAACCTGTAAATAAACTTAACTATTCACAAAGAGCATTCCTCCAAATACAATAACCTGTAAATAACCTTTAACCGTTCACAAAGGACATTCATCCAACTACAATAACCTGCAAATAACCCTTAACTATTCACAAAGAACATTCCTCTACATACAATAACCTGTTAATAACCCAAAACTGTTCACAAAGAACATTCCTCGAAATAAAATAACCTGCAAATAACCCTTACCTATTCACACAGAACATTCCTCCGAATACAATAACCTGTAAATAACCCTTAACTCTTCACGGAGGATATTCCTCCAGATAAATAACCCCTGAAATATTTTGACGCGTATCCTTGATACTTCAATCAGGCAGTTTTAATGACATTCAAGCGAGCAGTATTAATGGTGAACTGCAGAGCAGTTCTGCTCAGATTTCTTTTGCTCTTTAATTCTTTTAGCCGTTCGAGTTTCTTTGTTATCCATTAATAAATTTTCTGATACTTTTCTACTGTTTCATTCTTGTGTCATTCATCCCTGGTTTATCTCTTTTCCTTATTTCATCAAACCCTTTGGTTTGTGGGTGAAATACGTTTCCGTTTTGAAAATGCATGTAATTTTATCCTATCGCCTCAAATGATTCGACGAACGTTGAAAGATCATTCAGAGAAATCGGTAAAATTTGTACAAATTTGTAGTATCCAAGTTCAAATGCTTCATAAAAAATCAATTTTTCTTTTATGAGGATCGTAATGCTTATTTTTGGCGCATTTTTCCATTTATGGAAAAAAGGCGCTATTGTGCTCGTCATGTCCGTCCGTCCGTCCGTCCGTCCATCTGTGTGTCTGTGAAAATGCGCTCTCTGTCACTCACTGCAGTGAGTACTGAGATATATTTTTGCCTCATTCATGCATTTATGAAAAAACTCAGCAATTTTGTATCACTGGTTTGAACATATTCGCAAACTTGGAACGTTTCAGAAAAATTTCGTTTAAATATTTTTTTTTATCAGGAAAACAAGAGAATAATAGCGTAAAATTTTGCCTTTTTATAAATTAACAAATTTGAAGTCTTTTTTATTAATTTATAAAAATTATTTGGTTTAGATTATTTATGGTTTTGATTTTTCGAGGTAAACGTTTATTGTTTTCTACAGACTTGTCATTTAGGAATGCAGCAACCGAAGATATTCAATTCTTTACTTTTCATAATTTCAATCATTTTGAATCTTGTTTGTTTCTTTCTTTCATTGAATCCAAGATGAACAGGATATTGAGTTCATATTCTTTTTATAATGGGAGTTTAATTAAAATTGCCTATTAATAATTAAATGCTGTTCGAGTCTTCCAAAATTTTGAACGGAAAGCAAAAATTTCTTTATTATGCTATTCCAATTTTGTTGCTCGGCTTCAATTACTAATGAAGGACTATTATTTATTGGAATTACTCGTATGCGGGATGTATTTATTCTATTCAGGGATACAATGATCTGGGCCTCAATGGATCTAATCTCGTGTCAGGATTTTTTTCTGCTGTTCAGGAAATGGAAATCCAAGCAAGCATTAAACGCTCCTCGTGGTTGGAATATCGCGGATATTACTCCTGCAGGATTGCCGCTTTGGTGAGTGGATTGTTCTTAGTGTGACAGGATTGTTCGTCACACTCTGTCTCTCTGATCACAAACGTCTATTTTTGAGTGCTGGGAATCACTCTGTGTGGATGTTAACTGAGCATACATGATAAATGATCTTATCAAGAAATGCATTAATGTCTCAATGTATTTAAATGAAGTTTGGAAAACAATTTACCTGTTTTATGGTCATCAAAAACAATTTCTATTTGATTAGGAATATTGGCAATGAAATATTCTCTTATATCTGCAACGATCAATACAATAAAATTTATTTTACCTTTCCGGATTTCTTCCACATCTTTCAGATGTAAATAGTGAATGTTTATCTGTTCTTCCTGTACCCAGATAGTCCCATATTCATTTTGCCTATTTTTTGCTGGCTTTAAATGGATGAATTTTTAGAGATAGAAAATTAATCTGGACAATATCAATAAAACAAGCAAATGATGAGGATTTAGCATTTGAGGATTAAAAGGAAAATAACGATATTTTCGTATGTAGTAACATCCACGTGGCAAAAAACGGACATTAATTAGCCATTATATTGTCCCTTCAAATCTACTTAAGTTTCTAGGCAAATTATCAATAGAGTCTCCGATCTTCCTGCCGCTTCTAAAGTCACGATTGTGAAGCGGACATCATGTGAAAAGCTCGTGCGCAATGATTAAAAATTCGTCGCTGGTCTCTTATGATTAAACATAAAATAAAAATCTCCCTACGAGTCTGTTAGAAAACTCCCTTTTCTGCAGATACTTTATAACGAAACACTTGGTGCATGAATTTCACGTGTCCCTCAAATGAGGAGGATTAATTTCGACTATACAAAATATAATTTCGTTTCCCGTGAATTTTCTAGGCTTCTACCAAATTCGATCCTGAATGCAACAAAGAATTAACAGTATAGAAGCAGCAAGAATCTCGTTCGAAGGATCCGATTAGAAAATTTTTGGCTCTTAGCACATCGGATGCTAATGAAATCTTCCATGCAAGAGAAAAATTTGGAACTCAATAAATTCGCATGTATGAATGGCCTAATTTCTATTGAATGTAGGCATAACCAATTTTTGAAGGCAGCAATCCTCGACGCAGTTTTAGCAAGAAAGAAGCGTGAGTGATCTTCGTGAAAAGTTAAAAACTGAAATTTTTCACCGATTAACGAATGACTGACAGTCGGGCAGTGATGAGAAGGCTGTTCTTTTTAGCAGTTTCCGTACTGATCGCTGTCTGATACTTTTACATACAATGCCAAACCTTGATCCCAATTTCATACTGAAAACGAATCCGCTTAACATTATAACTCCGATTATCCATATAAATGAAACTATTGTCTAACTTCGATATAAAATCGGTGAGCAATATTTTTATCGATGCAATATCGATAAAATATGCCACTATAGTGGCAAGATAAAAAGATTTTGCAAGTTGGATTACTAAACTAGCGCCCTGGCTTATAAATATATTAACCAATTTCAAATATATGATGAACACAAAATACAAAAAGATATTAGCGGTAAAATTTCTGAAAACTTTGCATCGAAATGAATTGAGGGACAATTGCAT